TTCACCTCTCAAGCTGAACACTGTCCATTATTTATTGCTGTGAGAATTTTATCCTTCAAGGCCTATCTCGTATCAGAAAGGATTCCTTTTCTGTTCAGCGGCGCTCGGAATCTTCCCCTGGCCGCTCGCGCGCGCACGCGCTGCCCTCCGCGTGCTTCTCGCGTGCGCGCTCGGGGATCCGCGGCAGCGCCGCACACCCCCTCCCCCCCGCCCGCCCAGTCCTCCTATTGGGCCCCGGAACAAGGGACGCTCTCTCAGGCCCCGGGTTTTCTCCTTGTTTTGTTCTCCCCTCGAGTCTCTCTGGTCGGTTGGGCAGTGTAAGTGTGGCTGGGGGTGAATGTTGAGGCCTTGTTTCCCGCCGGCCCATGGTAGGTTTTATGAGGGTGTTGACGCCCCCACCCCGCATCTCTGTCGCTTTCCGCCTGCTGGTTGTGAAGTTGGGTGGCCGGACCCAGCGGATGGGGTTGGGACTTTAATTGCAGCCAGAGCCCTGGGCCTGGGCGGCCCTGGGGGCGCCTCGCGGCCGGTGGATGGGAAGGTTCACGCGTACGGTTGCGTGGCCTGGGTTGGTGGCGAAAAAGGCTCGTCCTCCCTTTTCCCCTCGCCGCTGTCCCCGGGGAAAGGCGGCCTGCCCAGCCTACTGAAGGTCACCTTTGCACCTCCACTTGGCTGTGACAGAAGGTCCTTTAGGACCATGGGTCGTCGCTGAGGAGAAGGACAGTTTGGAGATTGAACATTGGGGAAAGGGGGAGAAAGAAAGGAATGGGGTGTTTAGATCTAAGGCCACAGTTTGGGGACCCTGGAGAGAAACTAGAGTTTTCCTCATTTTGAAAAAAAAAAAAAAGAAAAACCAACGTGTGCTTTAAAGACTCATTGCAAATATTTTGTTCTTGTAGGAAACTGCTTTCATTGCATCTTGTTACGCGGTATCTGGGAAATGACAGTAGACTTTCTGGACTACTGAGTCCTTGATGCCTAGGGTCATACTTAACCGAATTCAATTTGTACTTGAGATCGGAGTAACTGGGAGACTCGTCAGCGTTACTTAAGTTCGTTAGTAACTGAGCTGATTTTTTTTAGATCTTCGCCTATTACTTTCTCCTGTCTTTTTTCTATAAAATCACTGATGCTTGTGGAATTTTGGGAAAATGGGGGATGCTTTATGTTAAAAACACATAAAGACATCGCTAACAGGCCTTTGTGAGCAGGCTTGTTTTGTTGATTTTTTTCCCTCTGAAATTGATTATAATGATTTCCGTTGAGTCTCTACTAGTATTAGACACTGTGCTTGCATTTATCATTGATTTCTTAAAATTTTATGTAAGTTTTCATGGCGTATGGGAACATAAGGAATGGAGTGTCTCTGTCTTTAGCCCATTAGAAGATAAGTCACTTGAGTTAAAGCCTAAGTTGTCTTCCCATGTTGATAATGTAGTGCTTGTTGCATTCTTATTAAATATGTATTAGGTTTCATCTAGAGGTTTACACTTATCATTGACTTCTTAAGATTAGACCTAAGTCATTAAACAGTGGGCTGGTACAAAAGAATCGCTGTTATTTATACAGTAGAGTGCAAGTCTTAAATAACCTGGGTTGTTTTTCCTGGTTATGGTTTGTTGGACTCTTAGTAAATTCCATTTATTTTTTGCCTTATAAAATAGAGTTCTTTAGTTATATCTCAGGATCTGTTACCTTATACTATGCCTGTTATGATCTATCAGCAGTTCAGTTGATAGATTAATCTTTCCAAGCTTTCTGCTGACTTGATATACCTACTTTTAATGCTTTATTAAAAGACCCTTTGCCTACCATACCAGATTAAGGCCTTACATTGAGCTTAACACTCCAGGTCCTCTGTTATATGGTACCAAGTTTCTTTTGCCTTTTTCCTTTTTTTTTCTTCCTCTTAGTTGTCTGATACGGTTTAGCTAAATAGAATTATTGCTGCTTTGCAAGTGGCTTTTTCTTTCTGTTTCTTCTCTTCACCTCTCAAGCTGAACACTGTCCATTATTTATTGCTGTGAGAATTTTATCCTTCAAGGCCTATCTCGTATCAGAAAGGATTCCTTTTCTGTTGATGCTGTGTTTTGAATTTCTAAAGTACCTTAATTATAACACTGAAAGTATCTTTTGTGCACTTCTCTTTCTAGATGGTAAGCATTTCTAAAAAGATTTGTTATTTATGCATACAAGAACTGGGGTACAGGCCAAAGGTGTGGGGGTGAGAGGATTGACCAGAGACAGAGTGGGGAACAGAACAGGCTACTGAAATACACTATGAGGGGATCAGCAGGGAGACAGGAGAGGTCTGCTGCACCATGTGGGTTAAGCTCCTTGGCCAGGGATTGAACTCATGTGGTAGCTTCATAGTGCTGTGCTCTGTGGTCTCCCGTTGAGCCACCAGGGAGGGCCCTAGATTGTTAGCTTTTGGAGATCAGGGTCTAAAATGGCACACTGTGATTAAGAGGTGCTCACAAATTTGTCCAGTTGCAGGGATTCCTCTTGTCTTGACTAAAACACTGTAAAAAGGTGTGATTTCATGCTGATGAATTTAAAAAATCAGCCCTGAAAAAAATGTGTTTGTTCTGTGAAACCATTAGGGTATGCTTGCTTATTGCTATACAGTTTTAAGCCAAAACAGATTTGTGATCTTTACTTCTCGCCTCTGAAATAGTAACTGTCCTTTGAACATAACATCTAGAGCTTTAGTTTGTAGAAATAAAATTGCAAAGCTTAGGAGAGAAATATTTTTATATTTCTTCTTTTCTCTTGGAAGGAGTCTAAAACTACCTACCTGGAAGACCTTCCACCTCTGCCTGAGTATGAAGTGGCTCCAGCTAAACTAGGAGAAGTGGATGACGTTTATCTCATTCGAGCTCAAGGATTACCTTGGTCCTGCACTGTAGAAGATGTGCTCAACTTTTTCTCAGGTATTTTTTATAGTGTATTGTATTATATTTTATTTATTTTAAAGATTTATTTATTTATGCATACAAAAACTAAAAAGGGTACAGGCCAGATGTGGTGCAGCATTTAGAGGATTCACCAGAGACAGAGTGGGGAGCAGAACTGGTAGATTGACTGAAATGCCCTGCTGAGGGAAGCAGCAGGCAGGTCAGGAGAGATCTGCTACGCGGTGTGAATCGAACTTGTGCTGCAGTGGCTGTGATAACGTCATAGTGCTGCACTTTAACCCGTTGCACCACCAGCGAGTGCCTATAGTGTATTTTAAATGTGTACTTTTGTCTGAGTAGAAGGTAATCACACAAGTTTCAAGTTGGACTATGCTATAGATATCCTATCTGATGGCTAGAAATTGTCTTATTCTGACTTGTTGCCCTAGGTGACAGACACCATGTGTACCATTGATGATATATATCAGCTTTAAATGTAAGAAAAGTATTTAATGTTGAAACTAGTTCCCCTGGCCCTCCCTGGTGGTGCAATGGGTTAAAGCCCAACACTATGAAGCTTTTGTAGCTACTACAGCATGAGTTCAATCCATGCCCAGGGAGGTGATCCACCATGGTGCAGTAGACCTCTTCTTACTAACTTGATGTTCCCCTCAGCAATGTACTTTCTCATTCCGCCTGTTCTGCTCCCCACTCTGTCTCTGGTGAATCCACTCACTCCCTGCACCTCTGGCCTGTATTCCAGTTCTGTATGCATAAGTAAACAAATCTTTAAAACAAACTAGTTTCCCCTGAAGTTTTAATGGTATTTATGAAAAATCCAAATATCTTAATGGGAAATAGGAACTTGAATGATTCTTCATATAATGTAATCTTCTTTGGAATAGAAGATTACTTAAGTAGCAAGTGATAAAGTTCTCTCAATAGTTTGTAAAGTTTAAGAATATGGTTAGTACTTTAGTTTCTGACCATGATTTTTATTTTTTCAATGAGGCTTTTAGAATATACTGCCTTAAATATTGTGAACCATTATAACAGTACTTAAAATACCTTAATATGTACATCATCCTGTGGCTCAAATGTTTTATAAAACCACTTATATCAATTTTATTATAAGAAGTATACCACCTAGGGATGTCTTTCCCTGGTGATAAAAAGGAAAAGTTAAATAATAGTATTAAATTATGTCTGTACACAGGTGAGTTGGTGGGAAGTCCATGGGGATTACAACTGAGATGGAAAAAGGCACAAAATGATGTAAAAACGAACTATGATAAAAATTAAAAAATAATTATGTTTGTATATGTTTTAGAATCCTTGTGTTTGTAATTATAAAAAAGGAAGATATGTATAAACCCAAGCATTTTAATTTCTCAAGCGACTTGAAAGGTTCTGTCGTTTATCTTTTTCACTTGGGAACTGTAAAGCTACCTATTTAACATCTGAGTAGCTTTGGTGATGGGCCTTTTTAAAAAAGATTTATTTATTTATGCACACAGAACTGAGGTACAGGCCAGAGGTGCAGGGGCAATGAGAAGATTCACCAGAGACAGTGGGGAGCAGAACAGGCAGATTGACGAAGTACACTGCTCAGGGGAGTAGCGGCTGTGTCAGGAGAGGTCTGCACCATGTGGGTCATCTCTGGGGTGGGGAATGGAACTCCTGCTGAAGTAGCTTTAGCTTCTTAGTGCTGTGCTTTAACCCGCTGTGCCACCAGGGAGGGCCCAGTGATGGGCTTTTTTTCTTAAGGAACATGATAGGAATTTTGGTTCTTAATTTGTTTTATTGGAAAATTACATTCTAAAGACTTGAATAATTGAACTGAAGGCTTGATTTCTGATTTTAATTAATTTTACTCACATACTTTTAGACTGCAGAATCCGCAATGGTGAGAATGGAATACACTTCCTCTTAAATAGAGATGGAAAACGAAGGGGTGATGCCTTAATTGAAATGGAGTCGGACCAGGATGTACAAAAGGCCTTAGAAAAGCACCGGATGTACATGGGGCAGCGGTATGTGGAAGGTACATGAAGTCATATCCTAGTTTTTGGGTCATTACATTAACTTTATACTTTGCAAACATTTTTTTATTTGATTCTTAATGGTGAAGTAGTTCAGTATTATGAATATACCCATTTACTGGATGTGAAAATGAAGTGTAGAGATAATCTTAGTTTTTATCTATAAATGAGAATGTTGACCATGTTAACCTCACAAGTTACACTTTTTAAATGAGTTATGTCAGGCATGTTGTAAATATCCAATAAATGTCATATTGTTTTTTCCAGAAGAGTATATGGAGATGAAAATAATTGTTTTTAATTCTTGAGTACCCACCAAGTGGTAATGTGGTTTTTTTTTTTTAAATCAAAGCTCCTTTGTTATGTAAATACCACATATCTTTTGTACTTTTTCTTTATAGTATATGAGATAAACAATGAAGATGTGGATGCCTTAATGAAAAGCCTGCAGGTCAAATCTTCACCTGTGGTGAATGATGGTGTGGTCCGTTTGCGAGGACTTCCTTACAGTTGCAATGAAAAAGACATCGTAGACTTCTTTGCAGGTGCTTTTAGTTATGTTTGGCACTTCCTTTTTTTTTTTTTTTTTAAATGCCATTGTTTCCTTATATAATCTTATATAAGATTTCCTAGGTAACAGCATGCAGTTTCATTAAGTTCCTTAAGGGAAGAACTCTTCAGTTGGATTTCTGATGTTTAGAGTTTATGTGAAGTGTTTTGATTTAGATTTATCTTCAGAGGTCAGATTTCAAAATAATTTCCTGTGGGATTATTTTACATTTGAAGAAGAAAATAGCCTTTCATAAGAGTGTTTGAATTTGTTGCCTAAGACAGTAGCAGTTTATATAATTTAAAAGCATTATTATATTATATAATTCTTAGCTGTAAAATATACACCATTATTCCTGATGTTAGTCTAAATCTGTGTTGTCCCCTGATATGTAATTGATGGCCAAAAAAGAAAGAATTGTGTCTTAGTTTAGTTACTATGGAAATACAGATATTTGGGTGTTAGTAGCTTTTGACTGCCTAGTAATTTTCTTTCCATTACATGTGTATCCAGCTTTGGGATTAGCAAAACAGCTCCAAATTTTTACTAGTGAAATAGAGTTATCAATGTGTGAATGTGTTAATTTTGAGGATAAAACTTTTCCTTCTAGTAGCACTAATTATTTTTGCTGTTCTAGGGCTGAATATAGTAGATATTACTTTTGTTATGGACTATAGAGGGAGAAGAAAAACAGGAGAAGCCTATGTTCAGTTTGAAGAACCAGAAATGGCCAATCAAGCCCTTTTGAAACACAGGGAAGAAATTGGTAATCGGTGAGTGAAGTACTCACTAATGATGCACAAATCTCAATATTGGGTATTTTGGTGAACAGTATGACTGTAAAATAACACAGAAAAGTAGAATAGTGTTACAGCTGTTAAGTACCCATCACTTATACTAACAAATTACTGAGCTATTTTTATGAATTTAACTTTTCAGTACACATTTATAAAAGACATTTTCTTACATGATTTCAATATTACTATACCAATCAAAATTGGCAGTGATTTACTATTCTAATTAATAGTTTGTAATCACATTTTTACAGTTAAACCAAAAATGTCTTTGTACAGCTGGTTGGTTTGAACCAAAGTACAGATAAGACTCATCCATTTGATATTTCATTGTTATTTTCAGTTCTGTTAAAGTAGAGCCTGTCCTCATCTCCTTAATTTTTTTATTTTCTTCTTTTTAAATGCAGTTGTCATTGAAAAAAATCAGGTCATTTGTGCTGTACAGTGTCTTATTGTCTGTATTTATCTAAGGGTGTCACTTCCTTTTTACTTTCTATTATTTCCCCAAAACTGGAAGTTAGAGCTAAATTCTTGAATTGATTAACATTTTAAAATAGGTGATACTGTTTACAGTATATCAAACCACATTAGAATGCAAAACAAAAGTTCATCCTAGAGCCATTGTATTTCAGAATTGGCTCAAAGGCCATTTTTTTTTTTAAAGATTTATTTATTTATGCATGCAAAAATTGGGGTACAGGCCAGAGGTTGGGGAGAATGAAAGGATTCACCAGAGACAGAGTGGGGAACAGAACATGCAGATTGATTAAATTAAACTGCTGAGGGGAACAGTAGGTCAGACAGAGGTCCCTGCATCATGTGGGTCAGCGCCCTGGCCAGTGATCTAACTCATGCTGCAGTGGCTACAGGTAGCTTCATAGTACTGCACTTTAACCCCTTGTTCCACCAGGGAAGCCCCTTATTTAATTGTTTTTACATAAGTATGTGTAAAACATTCTGCCTCATCCCTTTTAGCACTAAACTTGTTTTATCTTTTGGGACACACTGATTTTTATGTGGGAGCTTTATAGCAGTGTGTGAATATCTTCAATAAATTAGTAGTGGTGTCCTGATCTTTATAATTCTGTAAATACAAATGATTTTTACAATTCAAGTTTTATTAACCTAATTTGGGAAGCAACATTGAGGGAAGAAATTTGATTATAAAATCTTGGATTTCATTTAGTTGTGTGGTCACTATAAGTAAGAATTGACAATTCATTAATACTCATTAGGTTCTTTTTGAAGTTCTATAGCAATTGCTTCATAAATTTTTGACTTTTAATATACATCTATGATTAATTCTCACAGACTTGAATTCTAAGACTTCAAGAAATTGTTAACCAAAACATTAACTAAGCTAAGTCAGAGTGTAGTAATAGTTTCATAAAACAAAACAGGGTAGAAAATATTGTTAAATTGTTTATGAAGAAAACTGGTGTGTTAGAATGGGAGGCAAAGAATATCAGTGACTATTGTATTGAGTGTACTTTTTCATGGGCTAATAATATCTGTATCCATTCTTTGTCCTGAACCTGGTAATGCTTGGATAACTGTGTTTATAAACTTTTGGAAATATTTTATCTGCACTTTTTAAAAATGACCACAGTGTAAAGATACCTTAAGCTTTTGTGCTTGTTTTGCTTTGACATAGCTACATAGAGATATTTCCAAGCAGAAGAAATGAAGTTCGAACACATGTTGGTTCTCATAAAGGAAAGAAAATGTTATCATCTCCTACTGCTAAATATATAACTGAACCAGAAATGGTTTTTGAAGAACATGAAGTAAATGAAGATATTAGGCCCACAACAGCTTTTGAAAGTGAAAAGGAAATAGGTAAGGACTTGTCACTTCTTGAGACTAAGTTTATCTAGTATATTTGACTTTTACTAGATTATTTTTTATGATCACTTTAATGAAATCATAAGATTTTAGGATGAGGAGTTTAAGTTTGTTGTAGTATTACTTTGAATATATGCAGAAGAGCTTAATTATTTCAGTTATTTTTTTCCCTAGATTTTACTTATTTATGAATAAAAGAACTGGAGTGTGTGCTCTGGGGGTTGTGGGGGTGAGAGGATTCACCAGAGATAGAGTGGGGAGCAGAACAGGTAGATCTACAGAAATACACTGCTGAGGGGAGTGACGAGATGTCGGCTGGGGATCTAGCTCATGCTGTAGTGGCTGACTATAGCTTGATAGCACTGAGACTTTAACCCCTGTGCCACCAGGGAAACCCCTTATTTTGATTTTTAATAATAAAGTCCTTACATAATAATTCGAGTGGAATTAAGGATTTTGACATAAGGGTTATATCTTACAATGTTAATAACTCTTGAAGCTTTCTGTCCTTGACAGTGCTTTTTATTCCATCTCCCAGAATTGCCTAAGGAGGTATCAGAAAAGCTACCAGAGACTGTTGATTTTGGAACTACATCTTCACTACATTTTGTTCACATGAGAGGATTGCCTTTCCAAGCCAATGCTCAAGACATTATAAATGTGTGTGGCAGTAAGATACTCAGTTTTAATAGATTTGAACAAAAGTTGAACACTGAAATCTTATCATTTTGGGGAGGTAGAAAACTATTTCTGGAGTATCTTTAGACATGAACACTAAGATGGTACTTCATGTTTTTGGAGGCTTGTTTCATTTCTTTCACTGAAAAGAATGGGTCTTCCTACTTTTTTTTTTTTTTTAAAAAGATTTATTTATTTATGCTTACAGAACTGAGGTATAGGCCAGAGGTGTGGAGGGTGAAAGGATTCACCAGAGACAGTGGTGAGCAGAACAGCCAGATTGACAAAGTACACTGCTGAGGGAGCGTGGCAGCAGGGAGGTCAGAACAGGTCTGCCACACCATGTGGGTCAGCTCCCTGGTAGGAGATCGAACTTGTTTTGCAGTGGTTTTGGAGAGCCTCATAATGTGGTTCTTTAACCCGTTGTGCCACCAGGGAGAGCAAGTTCTTACTGCATTTTAAGGTTGCATAGATAATGGGTAAAAGGATTTCATAGGTGCTAAACATACTGTATAGGCTTAGTATTCAAAGGAGAAAACATTGATTTACATCTAATTTATTTAACCATTTGATTTTTGATTTTAGGCAGTAAGACTCAAGGAGATTTGTCACAAGGCAGTTACTACTTATAAAATATTTTTGTTTTATAATACAATATAAAATGAAAAATAAAAGCAGAGGCCTTATTCATTTCATTAAGGTAGATCCATATCCAGAATGTTAATATTGGATTCTTGGAGTTAACATTTCGAAAAACCTAGAAGGAGTCATAATTTCACACAGATGAAGTTTGTACAGTTTCATAAAACATTGCACTTGTTGCTTTGGTTTGGAATGATAGCCACTCAGTATGGAAGGTTTGTTTATGTAGTGTTGATGAGAAACTGATTGCCAGGTACATGTCTGATTAAAAAATGCTAAAAGCGAAGTATAACTAATAGATTATTTTTAGATACAGGGAAGGATATGTGTGGGAGGAATAATAAAAATGGTCTTTATTTAATAAACAAGTTGGAGAACTACTTGTATAGCAATTGTATTTGTAGTGTTTACTTCTCTTTAAATAAATACTTGAAATGTAACTTTGAGTTCTAAGAAAACAGTTGGAGATGGTAGATGTGTAACTTTGTTGTTCAAAGAATTTTCCTAAAAATAACTTAATCAGCTGTACTTATCAATGTGTGAAAGTAAAATGTAAAAAAACCATCAGACTTTAGAAATTGATAATAAAACTATTATGTTCCTTTTGATCTACCTTTGTGTAGTTTTTTGCTCCACTGAAGCCTGTTAGAATCACCATGGAATACAGCTCCAGTGGGAAGGCCACTGGAGAAGCTGATGTGCACTTCGACACCCATGAGGATGCTGTTGCAGCTATGCTCAAGGATCGATCCCATGTTCGTAAGTGCTACCCATGGTTTTCATGTATATTCTTTGTTTACAACTACCTGTGTGTGTTTAGGAATTTGCCTAGAAATTTTACTTGGGAGAATTATTTCCTGTTAACATTACTAGATTAAATGTAAAGAGTATAGAACACCTACAATATGATGAAAAGTATTTGTCTATTATGCAAATTTCTATCCCAGGTTAGATTGTTTCTTTGTTTTTGTTTTTTTTAAAGATTTATTTATTTATTCATATAGAACTGGGGTACAGGCCAGATTTGCGGAGGGTGAGAGGATTCACCAGGAACAGAGCGGGGAGCAAAACAGGCAGATCGATGAAGTACACTGCTGAGGGGAGCAGCGGGTGGGTCAGGAGAGGTCTGCCATGCCATGTGAATCTCCTCCAGGGCAGGGCAGGTGGGAGGATCGAACTCATGCATAATTGGCTTGAGCTTCTTTAGTGCAGTGCTTTAACCCACTGTGCCACCAGGGAGGGCCCTGTTTCTTTGTTTTTAGTTAGAGAAAGGAATGGGCAGAGGATTTGAATTGCTGTCTTTTTTTTTTAGAGATTTATTTTTTTATGCATACAAGAACGGGGGTACAGGCCAGAGGTGCGGTGGGTAAGAGGTTTTACCAGAGACAGAGCGGGGCGCAGAACAGGCAGATGTACTAAAATACATTGATTGCTAAGGGGAACGGGTGGGTCAGGAGTGGTCTGTCACACCTTGTGGGTCACTTCCCTGGCTGGGGATCAAACTTGTACTGCAGTAGCTGTGGATAGTAGCTTCATAATGCTGTGCTTTTAACGTGTTGTGCTACCAGGGATGGCCCTGAATTGCTGTCTTGACCTACAAGAAAGACTGCTACATTTTGCCTGCCATTTCACTTTTTTAAAATGAATCTTACTGTTGTCTTTAGACCATAGGTATATTGAATTGTTCCTGAATTCATGTCCAAAAGGAAAATAAGACTTCCAGGGACTCCAGATAATAAGGTAACTTGAAGACATAGAATGTGAAAATTTCTTTCAGTTGATAAATCATTAACTCACTAATTTTGATACAGTAGGAACTAACCTCTTTAATAACAATGAAAGTAATTATGTAATGGAAACATCAATATAACTAATGGGAATTCAATGTATTATGATTGTATTGTGGCTTTGGGTATTTTCACCATAAAAAATCTTTTTGCGCTTTTGCCAACATTCATAATGCTATGTGCCTAAAACTGTTTTTCCTTTGGAGCTGTCTGTAATCATAATATGTTGAAAATGTGCCATACATTGGCTTTTCTTGCCATAAAATCTAAACATGTGCCCAGTTTGAGAGTATTTATAAAATGATATGCTTGAAATTAAAGTTTATCATTGGTACAGACACCTAATGTCTTATTCTTTTTCTAGAATTGTTTTATGAAAATGCTTGTCTTAGGACGTATATGTAAACTTACCTGTTAACAAATCTTTTAAATGTCTTCCTGTCTGCTGCCCTGATTAAATGGTAATATGTTAATATTTCCTCCCAAAATGTGTATAGTAATCTTTTGTTTTTACATATAGTACAGTTTTTTTGAGACATTTAACTATAATTTCTTAAAAGCTAATGGGACATTTGGAACTATGTTGTTAACAAGATATTTTTGGATATAAAATACAAAGTATTAAAATGTTAAAAATTTATATCTACTAACTTACAGTGTAATCTGTGGGTGATGGAAAATTACTATCATATTAGGCTGCAAACACTAACACTTAATTTTCTTAACCTTAGCTTACACTAAATCAGAAAGCTAAACTTAAATGATGTAGCAGTCCATTTTCATTAAAGTGTGTATCTTTTTGTTTTGTGTTTAGGATGAAGCAAGAAGCATTTCATTTGCACATCTTTCTTGGACATGGGATATAAAGTTCCAGATTTTTAGCAGCAATTGCTAGAGGAAGAATTTTGGGGTTTTGGTTATTGCTTCAAAGAAAAATTCCATAGTGGACTGTTTAGAAAGAAAAAGGAAGGTTTGAGTTTGGGATTATGAAATAAGCCACAAATTTAAATTTTTGTTTAAATTATCCCAGATCTGATTAAAAAACCTGGTCTTTATTTTTTTATGATTAAATTTGTTTTCATAGAGGATATGTTACCCAATTGAAGACTACATATTTTCATTTAGTGCTGTCCTTAAAGTCTTTTTTTCATTTAAAAATTTATCTGTATGAGGTTTTGTTTTTTGCTTATGAATTGAGAACTCTAATGTGAAACTTAATGGAGTAAAATACTGACTTATTTTAACCAAATACTCACCAAAGCAATGAAAGCTTTCAGACCTTTGAACCAGTATGGTTTGGCAGAATAGTTTTAATTTTAGGTGTATTTGATTATTTAGAAAGGGGTAAAAAGATTTAAAAAATACCAAGTAGTAGGTAAATGGCAACAGTTTGGCAGTTTTATGTCTTCAGAAATGTTTGCCTTTCTAAGACTTTTTCTAAAGGTATTTAACATTCGTGCCTGTATACCTATGGAGGGAATTCTAATCTCAACTTAAAAGTTGTTTGCCCTCCCCTTTTTGGTAATTTGTGTTTGGGTAAACCATAGGGTTTTTGTTAGTTTCAAGACTGTGAAGTGATATGTCAAAACAGCCCTAAGTGGGAAGGACATTAATGGCTTCACTTGAATTTAAACCAGCTCTAGATAGGAAAAAAATGTCTCCTCATTTGCTTTTTCAGTGGGGTGGGTAGCACATCCCATATTTTAGAACAAGTAGGGGTGCCTTGCTTAAATAAAAATAGCATTTAATGTATAATTGTGTGAAGGGTTTATGGAAAAAGCTGTACTAATGTCACATTGTGGCAGTAACTTCTGCTTTAAAATTAAACAGCTTGTTATTTAAATATTGGATCAAAATGGCTGGCTTAAAAATGTAGTCGTTAATAAACTAACTTTATGTGCACCTGTGTAGGAGAATCCAAGTCCTGTATACTTCCTTTGCCTTGTTCCTGTTCTCAGGGTGACGACTGCCTTGTAGTTACCAGGAGATGCAATTCTAGTTCTTAAATTGAATTAACCCGTATTTCTGAGGTGATATATAGGAGAGATTGACTTCTCTCACTGAATACATATCCATCTTTGATTACCAGCTAAAATATGAAATCACTGTACTGTACGTAGTCAATAAATGAAGGCTTGTTTCAGGCTGAAGATTACCTAAGAGTATTTATTTTGGAGTGTGTGAATCAGCTGAATATATTTTTTTTAATATCAAATACTGGTATATTATAGAAGAAATAATTAAATTTCAGTTGCGTTTTTATCATCCTGTAAGAACATAATCAACTTTACCTTCGGTTATTAGTGCTAAGGTGCAAATATAAATGATTTGAGTATATTGAATTATGAGAATTAGTGTCTGTATAATCAATTAGAATGTTATTTTTCTCTGGGTATTCATTTTGATGTGGAAAAAATCTATAGGGTTGATTGGAATTGGTAAATAGTTAATTCAGTTGCAGTTACTTTGTTTTAAGCTAATGATTTTCATTTTGAACATCCCAGAAAGAGCATTAAAATGTTCTGTGATGGGTAAACTTGAAGGGTCTATCTTCTTGCTATGTTAGTGGCTGAGTTCCAGTATAAGAGGAAGCTATTGAATTCTAGGAATTTGAATGCTTTCTTCCATTTCGTATGTTACTGCTCATAATTTAAACTAGATAAGCAAATGATTATTGACAAGGCAGTGCAATTACTGGAAAGGAAGAAAAGCACATACTAGGGAAAAAGTTGTCTTTATTTTTATTAATTAAAAAATACATTTCTCTTAAAGTTTGACAGAATCAGGTTTGTGTATCTTTGCCTTTGAAACAAGTAATTGCATTGAATTTTGTTCTATAATTTTTGTTTTGGTCTTTCTAATGTCTTTATAACCTTTGTGGTAAAACTGTCAAAAACAACTTAATTAGAATCAATGGCTAAGTTACCCAAATCCTGCTTTGTTCATCTATTTCTCAAGGAATTGCAAGGGAGAATGCTAGTAAATAGCATATAGGTACCAAGGAGGAAATTGCTAAAGACTGTAATCTGATCTCATATATACACTAAATTAGAGATTGGAGCAGAACTAGTGTCTCTTGAATGAGACTTTTGCCACGTGGGAAGAAGACTGAGTTTGCTAGAGAGCACAAGACTCTAACTCTTAGTCACTTTCTGCACTGTGATTAAGGAAGAAGCAGAAGAAAACTACTTCCCATGCAGGTGATGTTTGAGGGCTTGTTGACCCAGCTTATTGGTCAGTATGCCCTGTTGACATTCTATGCCCTAATCGGTCCTTGGCAGAGACTTATTTGGAGATTTTATTTTTCCTGTTATATCCTGTTCATTTTCCCCAAGTTTTATTGAGATACAAAATAGAGATGTAGTACTGTGTAAGTTTAAAGTTTATAGCATAATAACTTGATATATATTGTGAAATAATTACCATGATGAATTTAGTTGACAGCCACCATATAGGTACAAAAAAAGATGTTTTTTTTCCATGTGATAAGAACTCTTAGGACCTGCTCTCAGCAACTTTCAAACATACCATAAAGCAATGTTGACAATTATCAGGTTGTACATTATACTCTAGCTGCTCATCAAATGCTTTAAAACTCCATTGCTTTAAGGTCCCCCCCCCCCTAAATTATGTGGAAGGATTCACATTTAATTGAAGGACCTATTACAGAGTAAATAGAGTGGTATATCTCAGCAGTAAAGCTGAGGAAGCTTAAATTCCAGATGCTTTGGAAAAAAATTGTGCTTAATGTAGTAGGAATGAATTATTTTTCTCCTGAATTTAGCAGATCAGAAAATCTCTGAGGTCTGTAGAGAGGGAATAAAGCTGCTATAAACCATTCATGTGTAGGTTTGATGTGTACATAAGATTTAAACTTATTTGGGAAAATACTAAGGAGCGTGATTGCTAGATCATATGGTAAAACTATATTTAGTTTGGTGAGAAACTGCCAGACAATCTTCTAAGAAGGTTGCTGTACCATTTTGCATTTCCACCATCAGTGAATGAGTTCCCTGCCAGCATTTAGTGTTATGTTTTGCATTTAGCAGTTGAATAGACGTGTGGCAGTGTCATGTTTTAATTTGCATGTGTCCCATAGTGACACATGATGCTAAAAACATCCTTTCAGGTATTTATTTGCAACTGCATACTGTCTTTGCAGGGTATCTTTTCAGATCTTTCACCCATTTCTTTTGTAGTGGGATGGATTTCTTAGTGATTTTAGGAAGGTTTGGTATGGTTCGTAAGCCCTGATTTAAAAATGGGGTACTTTTTAAATTGTGTTTTTAAAAATTTATGCATATAGAATATAGGCCAGAGGTGTGGGGGGTGAAAGGATTCACTAGAGAGTATGGGGAGTAGAAGTACACTGTTGAGGGGAGCAGCAGGCTAGTGAGGAGAGGTCTGCTGCGCCTTGTGGGTCAGCTCCTTGGCGAGGGATTGAGCTTGTGCAGCAGTGGCTGAGATAGCTTCATAGTGCTGTGCTTTTACCTGTTGTACCACCAGGGAGGGCCCTGTATTATTTTTTGAAGGAGATAAATTCAAGCAATACGAAGGCATATACAGTGAACAGTCTCCCATTCTATGCTTCTATCACTTATTTCTTAGGCAACCGTTTTCAGTTTCCAGTACAAACATTTAGTGGTATCATATGCAAATACACATCTTCATTTTAAAATATGATTTAGCATACCATACATAGTATTCTGTATTTTTTTACTACATCTGAAAGAGCTTGTATCAGTATGCAAATTCTTATTCAGAAAACCTATTTTATACTACTTTGGTGTACATATTTAACATGCTCCTTAGTGAACATGTAAGTGTTCCCAGGCTTTTGCTGTTAATGCTAAAATGGATTACCTTGTACACATTTTTCATCTTATACATAACATACATAGATACAAACATAAGTTTTCTGTAAAGGTAAATAATATGTCCACTTGAAATTTATATCTAAAATGTTTTTTCTTAGTATGTATTTTAGAAATTCAAGTACCCAGTTCCTATAACCTCACTCCAGTACGTTAGCAGTGTAGTCTGCTAATAAAAGAACACCTGTAGTATCCTCTTACTAGGTAGTGTTATTTTCATGTTAAAGTGCTTTTGAATTTCCTCTTCTGTGAATTTTCATTCCCTCTTTTTCTCTACAATCCCCAGCTACTTGACCTGATAAATTTTAAATCTAAGACAGCATCTTTTTAAAAGAAAATTTGTTTTGTGGGAGAACTGGGGTACAGGTTAGAGGTATGGGTGGTGAGAGGATTCACCAGAGACAGAGTGGGGGACATAACAGGCAAATAGACTGAAATACATTGCTGAGGGGAGCAGTGGGTGACACAGGAGAGGTCTGCTGGGCCATGTGGGTCAGCTTCCTGATCTGGGATGGAACTTGTGCAGCAGCTGCTGGTAGCTTCATAGTGTTGTGCTTTAATCCCTTGGGCCATGAGGCAGGGCCCTAAGGTCATTTCTAGAAGTATTAGTCACCAATGACCTACTTACCCAAAATGTCATTTTAAAATTTTATTTGAATCAGTATGTAAATAGTATACCCATTGCAATTTTTAATTTTCCAGCAAAAAAAATTTTTTTTTAAGATTTATTTACTCATACAGAATTGGGGTACAGGCCAGAGATATGGAGGGTGAGAGGAGTCACCGGAGACAGAGTGGGGAGCAAAACAGGCAGATCGACGAAGTACACTGCTGAGGGGAGCAGCGGGTGGGTCAGGAGAGGTCTGCCTCTCCATGAGGATCTCCTCCAGGGCAGGCGGGGATCGAACTCATGCGAAAGTAGTTTAAGCTGCTTAGTGCTGTGCTCTAACCCGCTGCGCCAACAGGGAGGGCCTTTCTAGCAAAATTTTTATGAAAAGTCATGCATGTGGAATGAATTGTGTAAACATCTACATCCTAGATTTTGATGTATTTATGCATAAAAGAACCAGGGTACAGGCCAGAGGTGTGGGGTTGGGGGGGAGGTGCGGTGGTAGTGAGAGGAGTCACCAGAGACAAGTGAGAACAGAACAGGTAGATGGAGTTAAATAGAATGCTGAGGGGAGTAGCTGATGAAATCAAAGATTTTATGACTGCCATTTTGCCATATTTTCTTTATCATGTATTTCTGCATCATTTAAACCATCTTAAGTGCTACAGAAAGTTGTGGACATCTATACTTGATTCCTAAGCTGTTTGGCATACATACCATCAAGCCTTTTTTTTTGAGGTTAAATTTACTGTGAACAAATGGTAAGTGTACCATTGGATAAGTTTTTTGTGAAGATTTTATGCATACAGGAACTGCGAGAGTAGGCCAGAGGTGCAGGGGGTGAGAGGATTCACTAGACAATGGGAAGCAGAACAGGTGTACCTACTGAAATACACTGCCGAGGGGAGCAGCAGGTGAGACGGGATAGGTCTGCTACACCATGTGGGTCACCTCCCTGGTAGGGGTCGAACATGTGCTGCAGTGTCTGCAGATAGCTTCATAGTGCTGAGACAACCTCTAGTGCCACAAGGGGGGGTCCAAGTACTGACACTTTAACCTCTACACCATCAGAGAGAGCCCCCCTGCATAAGTTTTGATATAGTGTGTAACTTCAATCTCTAGCAAGCTATAGAACATTTCTATCACACTCAGAACATTTCTTTATACTGTTAATTCCTGTATCCTACCCCTACTCATTTTAGGATTTTCTTTTTACTGTCGATTAGTTTGGCCTATTCTAAAATTTAGTATTTGTTGTTTTCACTCAGCATACTTTTAAGATTCATCTGTTTCAGCTCTGTTCCTTTTCACAACCAAGTAATACCAACTTTTGCCACAGTTTAACTTTTTACTTGTTAGGTGAGCAGCTGGTAGATGAGCTGCTTCTAGTTTTTGGCTATTATGAATAAAGTTGTTATGAGCATCTTGTGCAAGCCTTTTTGTGGACCTGCATTTTAATTTCTATAAGTATTTAAAAGTAGAGTATCCTGAATTGTAACATTGACATATTTTATATTTTACAAAGTATTAACTACCTTCTTCCAAAATGGTCATCCTGTTTTATACAGTAGATCTACATCATTAGATTTCAGCTTGTAATTATATTCATTTTGTGTGTACTGGTATCTTGTGGCTTTGATTTGCTTTTTCTGACTAGTGGGACCCCCTTTT